CACATACATAACATAGATAGCGACAGTCCTTATAATTCTTATTCCTATTGTTAAGACTGGTAAAAACTTCTCCAAGTAATTTTTCTCTCCATACTCTTATTATTTACAAAAATAAAATCATGAAGTTTTGCAAACTATTTTCCCCCCTCACTAACAAGTATAATCTAGATATTTTTTCATGTCAGAGTATATAGAGCTTTATTCATTTTTTAAATTTTATTTTTATTTAAGTAATCTCTACCCCAGCATGGGGCTCAAACTCATGACCCAAAGATCAAGAGACACATGCTCTTCTGACTGGGCCAGCCAGGTGGCCCTAGATCTGCTTTATTCATTTTGACAACCACAGAGGAATCCATTGTATCACTATAGCATAATTTATGCACATCTTATTGATGCCATTTACCTTGTTTACAATTTTTTGATACTGCAAACAATGCTACAGTGAACATCCCTGTATATATCTTGCATATATGAATAAATGTTCCTAAACAATATATTTATTCTTAAAGGTCCAATCACTTACTTCAATAAAAAATTAAAATGTAAATTTTAGAAGTAAAATTGCTGACTCAGAGTAGTTTAGTAGATATTGCCAAGTTATCCTCCCAAAATGTCGAAGCAATTTACAATCCCACCAGTGTAGGAGACTAAACTGTTTCCCCACTCTCTTGCTAGCACTGGGCAGTCTTGTTTTGTTTGTTTTTTTGAAAATTGTCCCTATCTCAGGTACATGCAGAACTGTCAGATTTAGTAAGTAAAAATGTAGAACGTCTAGTAAAATTTGAATTTCACATTAAAAAAATAAAGATTACCCAACTCCATCTGCCAATGGCCTGTTTCTGGTCTATCCTTTGGTATCATCAGTGATGTCTTCTCTGTCAATAGTTATCTGAAAATTTATTTTATCCTAAATGGATGAGAAATATTTAAATTTGTGTATTCTTAAGATTTGGTGAGATCAAGCATATATATTTGCCATTTTCATATCCTCTCTAGTGAACTACCTATTCAATGGTTTGTCTTCCTTAATGATTTATAAGAATTTTTTTATATTAAGGAATTAGACCCCGTTATATAACCTAGTTTTCCTTTTGACAGTTTTTTGTTATTCCCCCCATTTAGAAGTGTTGCACTTTTATGTAGTCCAACTTATTAAGCTGTGCCATTATGAGTTTCTCAAATCACCTGGATACCTTGTTTAAATGCAAATTCCTAGCTAATCAAATTTCTGAGAGTGAAATCTGGAACTCTCTCCTTAAAATCTCTGTAGGGGATTTTCTTCCTTTCTTCTTTCCTATCCCTCTTTTTATTTTTTATCCTTCTCTTCCTCCCATCCATCCTTCCAGACTTTTTTTTTTGAGGGGGGGAAGGGAGAGAGAGAATCTCTCCCCCAGTGTGGAGCTCCTCTTGGGGCTTGATCTCAGAACCCTGAGATCACAACCTGAAACAAAATCAAGGGTCGGACACTTAACTGAGCCACCCAGGCACCCACTTCCTTCCAGACTTTTATCATATCCAATCAAGAGTGAAGAATTTGCTAGAATTATTAAAATAAAAAATACAGAAGTAAACACGTAAACTATGCAATTGGAAACTCCTGTCCTCTTCTGAGTGTGTATTGTGATTAAAATGACTTATTCTTTATCAGTTCTTGACTTCACGGAGAAGTAGAATTTTAATGGTTTCTTCTATCTGATGTTAAAAAAATTTTATTATTGAAAATTTCAAGCATATACAAAAGTAGAAATAATAATTCTTATTGCTCAGCTTCAAAAGTTATCAATATATGGTCAATCTTGTTTCATGTACATGCCCTATTCCCCCTACCATCTCCCATTCCCCAGATTATTTTAAAGCAAATCCCAAGAGCTTTCCAAACTCATTCCATTTGAGATCCAGAATTTTATGATTTCTGAGGTTCCCATTGTACTTTAAAAATTCTTTCCAACTCCAAAAAATATTTACTCATGTTCTCTCTAGCTAATACTTGCATGATCTCATTTTCTTTGGTTTCAATCTCAAGAATTTAGTCTACTACTATTTAAGAAAAAAAAAACAAACCTGCAGATACTAGGGATAAAGCTAAGGAACAGGCACCTGAAATGTATTCTACATGAGATTCCAAATATCTATTCTTTAATATTCCAGCCAACAGTGCTTAACACCAGAATTTTTTTTTAATATTTTATTTATTTATTCATGAGAGACAGAGGGAGAGAGAGAGAAGCAGAGGGAGAAGCAGGCTCCCAAGGAGCTGGGAGCCCGATGCGGGACTCGATCCCAGGACCCTGGGATCATGACCTGAGCCAAAGGCAGACGCTTAACCATCTGAGCCACCCAGGCGCCATACACCAGAATTTTCTTAAATGTTACTAATAGCTAGCCAGATTCTTATCTCAATGCTTTGCAATCTTGCCACCTGATGTTCCTATTTAATTGTCTTAAATTACTCCAACTAGTCAAAGAAAGGAGATTTGAGAAGTATTTATGCATGAATAATAATTAAAAATGTTAATGCTTTGAACATAAAAATTAAGTCTCATAGAGGCAGAAGCCTGTTACCAATCTGAGTCACACTGTTGGTTGACTCAACATCTAGCTATAGTCCCTTAGTCTCCTATATATAAAATTTGGATAGCAACACTATCACACTATTTAGAAACCTGAAACTTACTCTTTCATCTTCTTTTAAAAAGTGAGCTGCCTCTTTAGCCCAATGAATTAATCCTTGGTAAATAAATATTCTCTTCTACTTGTAGAAGAAGGGGGAAATAGAAATCAAGGGCTTGTAGAATATTTTTGAAGTTTGTATAATTCTAGACAAAATTTGCCACTTAAATGTTTAAAATTTTTTGAGATCAAACTGTTCATTTAGACCATTTTTAGAATGTACAATTCAGTGTTTTTATATAGTCACAAGATTGTGCAATCATCACCACTAATTCCAGAACATTTTATCACCCCAAATAGAAATCCCCTTCTCCCCAACCCCTGGCAACAACTAATCAACTTTGTTTTTACAGATTTGCGTATTCTGGAAATTTCATACAAATGGAATCATACAGTATGTGGCTTTTGTGTCTGACTTCTATCACTTAGCATTTTTTTTTTAAGATTTTATTTATTTATTTGACAGAGAAAGAGACAGCGAGAGAGGGAACACAAGCAGTGGGAGTGGCAGAGGGAGAAGCAGGCTTCCTGCAGAGCAGGGGGCCCGATGCAGGGCTCGATCCCAGGACCCTGGGATCATGACTGGAGCTGAAGGCAGACACTTTAACGACTGAGCCATTCAGGCGCCCCAGCATTGTTTTTAAGGTTCATTCATGATGCAGCAGAATCAGTACTTATTTCCTTCTGGCTGAATAATATTCCATTGTGTGGATATACATTTTATTTATTCATTCATCAGTTGATGGATATTTGGGTTGTTTCCTTTTTTGGCCATTATGCACAGTTCTGCCATGAACATTCATGTACAAGTTTCTACATGAAAATGTTTACATTTCTTCTGGGTACACACCTAGCAGAATTACTGGATCATTAGCATAACCAAGTTTTTTTTTTAAGATTTTATTAATTTAAAGAGAGAGACAGCAAGAGAGGGAACACAAGCAGGGGGAGTGGAGAGGGAGAAGCAGGCTTCCTGCCGAGCAGGGAGCCCGATGCGGGGCTCGATCCCAGGACCCTGAGATCATGACCTGAGCTGGAGGCAGATGCTTACTGACTGAGCCACCCAGGCGCCCCAAGGCTTAACTTTTTGAGGAATTGCCGAACTATTTTCCTAAGTGGCTACACTTTACATTCCCACCAGCAATATATGAGAGTTCCAATTTCTCCACATCCTCACCAACTTTTTTGTCTTGTTTTGTTTACAATTATAGATGCCTGGTTGGTATAAAAGTGGTATCTCATTGTGGTTCTGATTTGCACATCTCATGTGCTTGGTGGCTATTTGTATCTCCTTGGAGAAATGTCTATCCAATCCATTGTCCATTTTAAAATTGGGTGGTCTTCAGTTATAAGAGCTCTCTGCATACTCAGAAGAGATCCTACTTAGAGTAAAGCCAAAACAAAAATTGAGGGCAAGATTGAGCCATAATGACCTATTTTGGACTCTTGTACTCTTGTATGCCTAAAGTCAGACCTACCTCCATGAACCAACACATTCTTGGGAGCTAATCGGACTAGAATAATGGAGGGATAATCTCCCATGTCAGGGTCCCTCAAGGACAATGGGACTTCTCCCCATTAGTTTTTCTGGTCAATCCCCAGGCCCCACCCTATACTGTGGGCATTGGATAGGAGGTAGGGGAAAGATGAATGATGCCTGGCACAATAAGAAGTGCCACTTCCAATCCCAAAGGGCCTGGCAGAAATTTTAAGACCATAGAGACCTTTGCACAACCTCATAATGCTTGTCAGTGCCACAACTTAAAAAAATAAAGCAACAAATACTCAAAATAACTAACCTACAGGGCAGACAAAAAGAATCAAGTGCTAGAGTAGAGAGTTAAATACTACAGAGAATACAGAACCCTTACATTAGGTATAGGCATGGTTGCCATTAACTAATACTGTTACATGTTTTCCAAAATACTTTCCTACCTATTGTCGTCCTACGTTGCCCAGACAGATCAGCCCATGTGGCCTTAAGGACTACTACATGTTCCAATTAGATGAGTCCAAAAGTATACGGCTCACTATGTGGATCTGAACAGAAGGCTAAGGAGAAAGTGGAGAAATTAGGACTCATATGTGAAGCTGATACATAGCAGCTTCCTATGTATCTTTGGAAAATGTACGAGGGATTAAATATTTTTCTATGTGAAAATGAATGACACTGTGGTAGTAAGGCAGAACAACACTTAAAATATGATTTTTGCCACAATGAGTGCCAATAAGAGATGTGTGATCACAATATAATGGAGATACATTAATTGTAATGAGAGAACTAAGGTGCTTCATCAAAGAGGAAGAAACATATCAAGAGGCAGACACAAGATCTGTAAACTACATTTATTGAGTACTTATTGGGCAGTGGGCACAACAGATACAAAAGAGTTAGGATGGGGACAGTAAGAACTTAAAAAATTAAATATACATTTAATTTACCATCTAATTCTACCAGGAAAGTACAAAATTTGTACAACTTATACTTTATTATGAAATTGTGATGACTGTCAAAAGGATAAGTTATACATACAATGCAAAAATTTTTTTTAAATTGTGCTTAACATCATTAGACTTACCCCAAAATGGGTTGATAAAATGCCTATACAGCATTCATTCTTATTACACACATATATTTCACTTTAAAGATTGCTTGAAAAGTACAAATCCTTTGACCCCATTGCTGGAAATCTGTGGTCAACACCTACACCTGTCGTTTCTCTAAGAAACACCATGGCATTTGCGGTCCATTTCTCCCTTAAAGTCCACCTTATTTTCAGCTAGCTTAGTAATAAGCTCTCTTAGAACTGTTTATATGTCTTTTGTCTGATCATCTTCTTCAAGTTTCCTGATTTCATTTTTTAAACAATTTATAGTTTCACGACTTGCCTTTAATCTCTCCTTAAGCTCTGCAATTTCAAAGCTTGTTTTTTTTTTCGCAGCTTCTAATTTTTCTCTGGTTTTCACTTCAAGTTCTGCAACTAAGGAAAACATATTTTTATTGAACTATTTCATTTTTCTCACATGTCTAAGGTATGTCAGAGAGGAATAAATATGGCATTTCCTTAAGTCAGTTTCCACGATGAAATGTAAACAACTTAAGATACATTAAACATACGGAGATGGGTAGAAAGTCTAAACTCTCACAAGAGAACCTAAGATGCTTTCTGCAACTAAGAATGAAATTCTGGCCATTCACAATTAAGATGTTAAGACATAATGTCCTTGGGGCGCCTGGGTGGCTCAGTCATTAAGCATCTGCCTTTGGCTCAGGTCATGGTCCCAGGGTCCTGGGACTGAGTCCGCAATCGGGCTTCCTGCCTTCTCCCTCTCCCACTTCCCCCTGCTTGTGTTCCCTCTCTCACTTTGTCTCTGTCAAATAAATAAAGTCTTTAAAAAAAAAAAAAAAAGATATAATGTCCTTGTTTTTCTCTCCACATACATATTAATTTGGAAATAAGGTGGAATACAATCTAAGAGACACCCTGATAATACGAAGAGCTAACTAAATACAGTGTTCTTAAACATATGTACAAGTAAAACTTACATAAACAAAATCACGCTGGTAATACAAACCCCTATCTTTTTACAAAAAAAGATAGCAATAACCACCTAGGTCTAAATTCCAGCTGTACCATTTACTAGCTGTGCTACTCTAAGTTATTATTTCTTTTTTTTTTTTAAAGATTTTATTTAGTTATTTGACAGAGAGAGAGACAGCGAGAGAGGGAACACAAGCAGGGGGAGTGGGAGAGGGAGAAGCAGGCCTCCCGCCGAGCAGGGAGCCCGATGTGGGGCCCAATCCCAGGACCCTGGGATCATGACCTGAACTGAAGGCAGTCGCTTAACGAACTGAGCCACCCAGGTGCCCCAGTTATTTATTATTTCTATGCTAATTTCTCATTATAATGAGACTATAACGAACACCTCATATTTGAAAAAATTTTTAATTTTTTTAACTTCTAGTTTTAATTGTCTCATTTAGCATATGTTGTCCCCAAACTAGTCTTAATGGTTTTACAGAAGTTCTGGGAGATAATGTGCTCTTAGTTGAGCTTTTCTATTTTCTTGGTGTTCATGGAATGACTTCTACCAGTATTAATGACCAGCTACTAAAGAGGACGTAGCATCTTAGTAAATAGATCTCTAAACTTTTATTTTTAGTTTGTATCTAAAACTTTATTCAAAAATTTTAAATGAATTAATGTACATAAAGTATCTAAGAGAATACTGTTAGGTACATAAAAAGCCATCCTAACTACCATTATGACAGAGGAACACTAAATACTTAAAACATTCTAGCTGGTTACATAACAAATTACTAAAGAAAGTATCATTACTGCAAAATAGAACACACCTATTTAAATAACCCACTTGGAGAGCATAGTATTGTTTTACAAAGAAAAATGCCTACTTTTGTCCAGCAGTTCCATCTTGTGGACATTTCAGGTAATTGCTGCTGATGACTATTAAAGCACAGTTGTACTTTACCTTTGATCAGATGATCACTAACTGGAAGCAGCATGGTTTGGTGTGGTGGGGGGAGGGAACCCTTTGAAATCAGAGGGACTTCAGTTCAAATACAACCTTGGCCCCTTATTAGCTAAATACTGATTATCTCCTAAGTCTCCCCCAATCTGGTTTCTATTTGGTACAGTTAAAACTGTTATTTCTCAGAGAATATTTGAGGATTAAGTAATAAATGTAAAGCATCTAGCACATTAAAAACATGCAATATTTATTTTCTTTATGGCTGGTGACTTTCTTTTTATGATACATCTTATACATGTAAAATTTTATATTGCCAAAACAATCCTTATTTTTCTTTGTAATTTCTTTCACTGCTTAATTTTAACTTTGAAAATTGTTTTTAACAATAGGAGTACCTACATATGATACAAAACTAAAAGGCTGAAAAATGTAGATAATGAAAAAATGTCTCCTTCCACCTCTGTCCCCCCAACCAACCAGTGTTTCTTCCCGGAGATAATCAGTTTTAGGTTTCTTTGGTATCTTTCAGAAATATTTTGTTCACAGACAAGCACACGTCTAAGTGTGATTTCTTCTCACCCCCAAAACAAGTGGTATCATAATATCTACACACTGCTCTGCATCTTGCTGCTTCACTTAATATTACATCTGAAAGCCCACTCTGTATCCTACAGCTCTCTCATTCTTTTAATGGCTCCAGATGACTTCACCTAATGGACATACATAACTCATTAATCTGTCCCCTCTGATATACAAAGTATCTCCATTTTTTCTTTTACACACAATGCCATAATGTGTATGCTGTAATTATTTCAGTGTATTTGTAGGATACTCAGTACACTTGTAGGATAAATTCCTGTAAGTACAAATGTTAGGATATATGTACTTGTAACTTTGAAGGAATGCCAAGTAACTCTTAAAAGGTTCTATTACTTTACAATCCCACTAGCATTGTATGTCCGTTTTCCTACTGTATCAACTTCTTGATCTCAGTTACCCGGAAAGGTTAAAAATGGTATTTCAGGCTAAATTTAATTTGCCTTTCTCTTTTTACTACTAAGGCTGACCAATCTTTTTATGCTTAGGAGAGACATTTCTCCCTTCCTTTCTATGGACTGTCTTTCCTTTTTTTTTTTTTTTTTTTTTTTTAAGATTTATTTTATTTGAGAGAGAGAATGAGCGAGAGAGCACATGAGCAGGGGCAGAGGGAGAGGGAGAAGCACACCAACCACTGAGCAGGGAGCCCGATGTGAGGCTCGATCCCAGGACCCTGAGATCATGACCTGAGCCGAAGGCAGACGCTTAACTACTGAGCCACCCAGGTGCCCACCTTTGCTAATTTTTCTACCGCATTATTGGTCTTTTTAATAAATTGAGGTATAAGTGACATATTAGTTTCAGGTGTACAACATGATGATTCCACATTTGTATACACTGCAAAATGATCATCACAGTAAGTCTAACATCTGTCGCCATAGTTACAAATTTTTTTTTCCTGTGATGAGAACTTTTAAGATCTCTTAGCAACTTTCAAATATGCAATACGGTATTGCTAACTATAGTCCCCAAGCTGTATATTACATCCCCAGGACTTATTTATTTTGTAACTGGCTTCTTTATTTTGTAACTGGAAGTTTGTGCCTTTTGACCCCTTTCAGCCATTTCAGCAACCTCCCACCCTCATCTCCAACAACCACCAATCTGTTCTATCTATGAGTTTGTTTTTTTTAAGATTTATTTATTTTAGAGCATGTGCGTGTGTGAGCAGGAGGAGAGGGAGAGGGAGAGAGGTAGACTGCCTGCTAAGTGCAAAGCTCAATGTGGCGCTCAATCTCAAGACTCTGAGATCATGACCTGAGCCAAAACCAAGTCAGATGCCTAACCAACTAAGCCCCCAAGGCGCCCCAGTTTTTTGGTTTATTATTATTTTTTTTTAGGATTCCATAATGTAAGTAAGATCATTTGGCATTTGTCTTTCTCTGACTTATTTCACTTAGCATAATACCCTCAAGGCCCATCCATGTTGTCACAAATGGCAAGATTCCCTTCTTTTTTTATGGCTGAATAATATTCCATTGTGTATATATACCACATTTTCTTTATTCATTCATCAGTAGATACTTAGGTTGTTTTCATATCTTGGCTATTGTAAATAATGCTGTAATGAACACAGAGGTGTGTATCTCTTCTCAATTTTCAAGTTAGTGCTAGTGATTCTATTTTCTTCATATAAATATCCAGAAGTGGGAATGCTGGATCATATGGTAGTTTTATTTTTAATTTTTTGAGGAACCTCCAATTTACATGCCTACCAACAGTGCATCAGGGTTCCCTTTCCTTCACATCCTTGCCAACACTTGCATTTCTTGTCCTTTAGAAAACAGCCATTCTAACAGGTGTGAGGTCATATCTCATTGTAATTTTTAAGTTGCATTTCCCTGAAGATTAGTGATACTGAGCACATTTTTATGTGCCATCTGTATGTCTTCTTTGGAAAAATATCCAAATCTTGCTCATTTTTAAACTGGATTGTTTGCTTTTTTTTGCTATTGAGTTGTAGGAGTTCTTTTATACATTTTGAATATTCACCCTTTATCAGATATATAATCTGTAAGTATCTTCTCCCATTCAGTATGTTGTCTTTTCATTTTGTTGGTACTTTCCTTAGCTGTGCAGAAGCTTTTTAGTTATTAGCCTTTCTTACTGATGTGCAGGAGCTCTTTATATATTAAAGAAACTAATCATTTGTGATAGGAGTACAATATTTTTTCATGGCTTGTCTGTCTTCTTTGTTTAGAGTGCTTTTTTTTTTTACTATGCAACAATTTTTATTCCCTTTCTCCCTCTCTCCACATCAATGAAAAAACATATACTGAGTGAAAGGCACTTTGTTAGATGCTGGGGTAAGGTAGATGATAGACAAGAAAGAAAAATGCAGCACAGTGTCATAGGGAGCTATGAGAGCAGACTGGATTCATACCAGTGTGAAAGGGTGTGTGTATCAAGGAAGGCTTCTTGGCAGCAGTAAAATCTGAACTGAGTTTTAAACAATGAGAAAGGAATTAGATGGATGAAGTGGACATCACAGGCCCTGGAAACAGCACATACAAATTTGGGAAACATCAAGGAGTCAGGTACAATGGTTAACAGGTAGTTTTAAATCTAGTCGGGAAGACCTGATCCAACTTATTTGTCAAAAGGACAGCATATACTATAGATATCGATTCTTGTTGTTTGGTTTGGTCATTACACTTTATTTTCTGACCAATCATAAGACTGCAAAGGGCATGATGTACTTGGAAGAAGACCTAATTAGCAATGAGATCATAAGGGAAAACATTTAAGAACTTCTTTTAGCTTGTTTCAGTTTTCTGCTTCCTATATATTAAATGCTTATATAAAGAAGAAAAATTTGTTTTAAATTTCTAAATTAAGCCTCAATTTAGAGTAAATCAATCCAAAGAGAATTATTATTTTTGCAAGCCAATATAACTTACTGGTTAGAAGCACAGACTGTAAGGCTTTTGCAGAGATAAAACAGCATATTCATAGAATATTCTATGAATATGCTGTTTTAAATCCCGGCTCTACTGGGTGATTTGAGACAAGTCATCAAACCTCTCTATGCACAAGGGCCTTTAGCCACAGAACGGGGCTAAGAGTAGCATCTGCCTCCTAGGGTGGTTATACCCATAATTCAGTAAGTTAAGAAATGTAAAGCACTTATCTAGCACACAGTAAGCTCTCATTAAGTGTGCACTATTGTTTTAATTATTCCTTGTAGAAGCAATTATTAATAGCTAGATCATTGTGCTTGGGCAAATCTCTACAAATTTATTATCAGTAGTATAGTTTTATGAACTTTTAATATGCTTCACAAATGTATTCTCTGACCTGATATTTAAAACTCCAACCATCTCCTCCCACCAAAAGTGTTCCCTTCCCTGCTGTTTTTCTCCATATCACCTGATTACTAACTTACACTTTACTCTATTTATTTAATAATCTGCCTTTCTCTCAATAGAGTGTAAGCTTCATGAAGGAGGGATTTTTGTCTGGTTTGGACACGGCTCTACCTTCTGAACCTAGAACAATGCCTGGTATATAACTGGTGCTCAATATATACTATAAGCAAATGAATGGAAGATCAAAGAAAAATTGAATGAGTGCTGACATAAATGTTAACACAAGGATGGCAAATAGGTATCATCTTGAGTACCAACTGCTAATGACTGGCAGTAGCCGCATGGAGTGATGCGTAAGGGATTCCGATGCCACGTCAGCTTAGAGGGAAAATATAACGTGACTGATTATTGATATGTCGTTCTAGTATTCACCACCCCAGCATTAATCTAAACTATGTAAAATGACATAGGTTAAAGAAAAAGAGATAAGCTAGTTCACAGTACAGTAGTCCCCCCTTACCCATGGGGGATACATTTCAAGACCCCCAGTAGATGCCTGAAACCACAGATAATACTGAACTCTATACAGACTCTGCTTTCTCCTATGCATACAGACCTATGATCAAGTTTAATTTATAAATTAGGCACAGTAAGAAATTAATAATAACTAGTAAAATAGATTAATTATAACAATATACTGTCATAAAAGTTATGTAAATGTGGTCTCTCTCTCTCTCTCTCTCTCAAAATATCTGATTGTATGGTACTCACCCTTCTTGTGATGATATCAGATGATAAAATGCCTAAGTGGTGAGATGAAGTGAGGTGAATGATGCAGGCCCTGTGACACAGCATTAGGCCACCACTGACCTTCTGACAATGTGCCAGGAAGAGGATCACCTGCTTCTGGACCACTGTCGACCCTAAGTAACTGAAACCTCGAAAAGTGAAATCATGGATAAGGGGGACTACTATGTACAAAAGTATACAGTTGACCCTTGAACAACATGGGTTTGAACTGCATGCGTCCACTTATACATGGCTTTTTTTTTTTTCCAGTAAATGCAGTACAGTACTGTAAACGCATTTTCTCTTATGACTAACATTTTTTCTCTAGCTTACTTTATTACACATACTAAAATACATATATAAAATATGTGTTAATTGACTGTTTATTAATAAGGCTTCCAGTCAACAGTAGGCTATTAGTAATTCAGTGTTTGGGAAGTGAAGACTTATACAGATTTCTGACTACTGGCGGGTTGGGCAGAGGATAGTGGTCAGCACCTCTTACCCCTGCGTTATTCAAGGGTCAACTGTAATTATGTTCTGCAAGGTTCTTCCCAGATTTTATCAGCAAAGACTAGTAAACAGAAAATGGCTGAGTGACAAGTTAAGCAAGATTAGTGAAAAGCTATGCTAAAATGTAATTAGGGAATAAAAGACAGTATTTCAGACAATGTGAGAGGCTACTTTGTGAACAATTTAAAACATCCTTCTTAGAGGTTCTATAGTAATACATATATTTTTTTTAACTCCTAAAAAATTTACCTTTATATATCCTTAGAAAAAAATTGAATAGTCACTAATAATAATCCTTTCACCATTATAGAATACATTATTTTTCAGGATTAATTATGAACTCATGGCACTTACATTCTGTTTCATGCTTATAGGCTCCTAATGTTAGCTGGCGAGATGTTGTTAATAATTGTTGCATCATTGCTGTTGGGTCTTGAAATATCTAATGGGATAGAATGAAAAAAAGCCCGATAACTTTGAAGTTCTACAACTTAAAATGCTTTTAAAATTCTCATTATAAAATCTTCTTACCATTTCATCATAGAACTCTGAAACCACTGTCTTTTTTCCCAGCATTGCATTGGTGTCTGACTGAAACAGCTTTAATAAATGATAGAGGGTTACCTGTGAAATAAAAATAGATGTCACATCTGTGCAATGGTTTTCATCATCGTGAGACATCATGATTTCTGTAACCGAATCAGAAAGTAGAATTAGTTAACATGTCAAATTCAGGATCTTATCTCAACTACAAGTTACTCTGTGGCAAATCACTCAAATTCTGTACTTTCATTTTCCTATTAGGTATTATAATCTATCCACATCTACTAAACATGAATGTTTTAAAGAGGGGAGGTATGGATGTTAGAAAACATCTCTACGGAGTGACAATGTAGAAAAATGACATAAAATACAGCTATAGAGATGCATGGGAGTTATTTTAGAAAAACAGAAAACAATCATTGTGGTTTTCCTAGGGAAAGGGCAAGGTGGGAGAAAGAAGATGTTATGGGTTGAACTGTGTCCCCCAAAAGATATGCCGAAGTCCTAACCCTCAGTACTAGTAAATGTGACCTTATTTGGAAATAGGGTCTTTGCAGATGTAATAAAGTTAAGATGGGAGTTATTAGGTAAGGCCCTAACCCAATATGACTGGTGTCCTCATAAGAGACACAGAGACAAGGAGGGAGAGGAGCCAGGTGACAATGGAAGCAAAGATTTTAGTTATGCCACCAAAGCCAAGAAACACCTGGGGCTACCAGGAACTAGAAGACACAAGAAAGGATCCTTCCCTAGAGGTTTTGGAGAAAGCATGGCCAATACCTTGCCTCCAGAACCATGAGAATAAATATGTTGTTTTTAGCTACTCAGTTTGTGGTGCTTTGTTATGGCAGCCCTAAGAAACTGATACAGGGGGCCTGTATTTTTTACTTTTAAAATCCTTTTTTAAACTATGTGCATACCTTACTTTTATAATTTAAAAACAATTTAAAACTGCATTATAAAACTGTCCTTCCTTGAATTTATTATTCAGACACTTAGAGGCATTCATGCAGATATAGACAATGAAAAATGTCAAGACAGATGTCCCTAATTTTGAGGGGTGTTTGAAGATTCTTAGAGCAATGAAAATGCTGAAACTAGCCACAAAGATATTTCTAGGAATAAAAACCCAATTTTAGCATTTTGCTTTTAGGAACAATCATTCCTTTTATAATGGTTTGATCTACAATCTATAATGGTTTGATCTATAGATTTTTAATCTATAACCAGGTAACAGAAATAAATCACATATTACCTGTGTCTTTCTTTTATATTTTAAATAAAACTTCATGACTTATTTTGAAGAGTCAACAATTAAAAAAGTATAATGGTTTCATTATACTAAAAGAATATGACAACAGTTTTTGGGTAATAAAATTCAGGCCTGTGTAGATCTATACGGAAACCTATTCAATAAATTAATCACTGCAGAAGTACAATAAGCACTCTTTCCAAGAGTGGACTTTGAGAGTTGTCTCATAACAAGGTTATATGATATAATTTCTTTCAGAGATTTATTTTCCAACTGGGAGCGGTGGATAGGACAGCTGAAGAACAAACAGGTAAGGCAGCACATTCTCTTTTTTTTTTTTTTTAAAGATTTTATTTATTTATTTGAGAGAGAGAATGAGAGAGAGAGAGAGAGAGCACGAGAGGGGGGAGGGTCAGAGGGAGAAGCAGATTCCCTGGGAACCCGATGCGGGACTCGATCCCGGGACTCCAGGATCATGACCTGAGCTGAAGGCAGACGCTTAACCGACTGAGCCACCCAGGCGCCCAAGGCAGCACATTCTCAAAGTAAAAATGAATTCCAAGCAATCTTAAAAAGTTAAAGAGTTTCTGCCCTACTAGCATTACTGATTTCTTTTCCTTCTCTCTCAACATCTGCTGGATTTCTGTATTCTATTCTCCCTCATAGACTATTTCCATTAAGGACAGGAGCAGTATCTCATCTGGAGCAGTATCTCATCTTTGTATCCTACCCCTTGAACAGTATCTTGGCAAATAATGGATATTCAATAACTTCTTGCCAGATAGAATATAATGTCTGTTGAGAGTATTCTAGAAGGACAAAACAATTAATAGAAGATCTGAAAACCTTATCACATGGAAAACATTTAAATGAGCTATAGATGTTATTCAGGAGAAAAGAAAACGAATGTATGAAAAGTTATCAGTAAAAAGTTCAAGGAAGCTTAACATAAACTAGAGCTTTCTTAGCACTAGAACTACCCCAGTTTCACTTAATGACAAAAGTCAATAGTCTTTCTACTGGAGACAGTAAGCCCAAACAAGGCTCTCATTTAAAAGACTGCCTAAAGGAATTCCTACAAAGGAAGAGTATGGCCTATACCTATGAGTCCTAAATCTTACTGTGCTGGCCCCTCTCCAAACCTACTAAATCAGACTCTCCAGGGGATGGGGCCTAGGAGTTTGAATTTTTAAAAAACAACTCAGGTATCTCTGGTGCAGTCCACTAGGAACTAATTCTCCAAACTACAGGCCCAGGTCATAGTCAGCTCCTTTAGAAGCATATACAATTTTAAAAATGTAATCTGATTATTAAAGTGTAAATGTTTGGTGCTAAAGAAATGCACTGAATCTATCAACATGAAAATTAATGGTGATGACCTGAAACGAGTTAAACACCAACCACACATGTGGAATGAGAGAGCCATAACTGAGTTGTAACCCTATGGGTTTACAAACAAAACAAGCTGAGTAGTTTTAGTCAAAAGAAAGGGTAACGGAAAGAATGTGAAGTCTGAATGCAAATAACCTGGGTTCAAAAACTAGCTCTGCCACAGTTAACTGTGTTTTGAGCATATGACTTGATCTCTGAGCTTTAGTATCCTCATGTCTAAAATGACAATATCATCAACCTCTCAAAACTGCTGAGGGATCAAAGTGAACATTTTGAGGGACTTTTTACATTATCAAGCAACAATATGATAAGAGAACAAAAGATGAAAAAATCCGTGGTTATAAATAAAAATTCATGAATAAAATAAAGCTGCTAGTACTGATAGCAACTTGAAAAAGCAAAAAGACTGTTGCTAGGGCTTTTAACTATAAAAACCCGGATACTCTCATTCTAGACAGCAGATGGACTCATCTCGTTTATTACTAATAACCAAAGAATATTAATGAATTTTAAACTTTTTTTGCTGTAGTAATCATATGATTCCATGGTTTCTTTCTGAGAAATGTTCACATTATATCGCTTCTTTCTATACTTGAAAAGTAAGTTTTGAAAGGCATTTCCCATAAAAATGAAAAACCTTCACTCATGGCAAGATACACCATGCCATAAGCTTACATAAAGTGTATCTGAATAAAAATGGCAACATATAACAAACTATTCATTAAGTAGATTACATTTTCACAATTACAAAAATCTATTTTATGTTTGCAAAGATTATCATTACTCACAGGTCTCTCATTAGGATCAATGAAAAATATTTTGATGATTATTTCAAATTCACCCCATCCTGTTTCAGTAATTTCATATGGAGGCTTAGTAACAACTGAAGAGAAAAAAAATAAAACTATAAATTACAAAAAATACTGATACAGTCTCCATCTTTTTAAATGTTAAATTTTATATTATGAATCAAAAAACTGTACTGTACCTCTTAAAGGATTGCCATAGCTTTCATGTAATTTAAATTGGATTTTCTTCACATATGCTGACATATCCTAAAATACAGAGGAATTAGTTCGCCATCTACATTTAAAAACTATGAGGAAAATACACTGAGCATTGTACCTAATTTTATAAAATACACTTTCCCTCAACTTTTATGGAATCCAATTTTATTTTCTTTTATTTTAATTCCAGTATAGTTAACACACAAGTTAACAGTTTCAGGTGTACAATATAGTGATTCAATAATTCCACACATCACACAGTGCTTATCATGACAAGTGTACTCCTTAATCCCCAGTGGAATCTATAACTTTCTAAAAAACATGAATTATACACAGATTTGGTTTTTATTTTATTTTATTTATTTATTAAGATTTTATTTATTTATTTGACAGAGAGAGAGCGAGAGCAGGAACACAAGCAGGGGGAGCGGGAGAGGGAAAAGCAGGCTTCCCACTGAGCGGAGCTCGATGCAGGACTCAATCCCAGGACCCTGGGATCATGACCTGAGCCAAAGGCAGACGCTCAACGACTGAGCCACCCAGGCGCCCCTGGTTTTTATTTTAAACAAAGGAGGCCTGAGTTGAATTCTTTCACAACTCGTAACATACAGGAATATACATGTCCCTAATTCACTTGTTTTGCGAATCCTATTTTTATATATCTCTATAGACAATGCTCTAAATCAATTTTGATTTTCTATAAAAATAGTACATTTCCAATATATTTAATAGGAATAAGCATACAAACTAAAGCACATCTAAGACCTAAGCAACTTTAAAAAACAAAATTATATTACATAAAGCTAAGGTCAACTAAACTAAGCAACCTAAAACCATCAGATAAAAAACTCCTTTTCCTAATCTTATTTTGAAGCACAGGAGCATATACATTAGTTCTGGCACATAAAAGGGATTCTCCTAGGGAAAATGGCTTCTTCAAAAAAAAATTCACTGTAGAAAAATGTAAAACTGAATCAGTCACACTCGACAGTAGTATTCAGTAATCTTTTTATTTGCTTTTGGGAAATCTTTTTATGTGATTATTTACATTTTTAATTAGGGTCATAACGATATACTAACATCTGCTTTCATCACTTACATTATATTGTGAACATTTTTTTGAGGGAGCTTTTCATAAGCATATTTGAAGACTCTTTGGGAATACTTTCATTCATTTTTTTCTACAAATGACCGATACTGGATACCAGATGCCACCATGGTAAATAATGAACTCTTGTCCTCATGGCAGGGAGAGACAAGAAAATCAGCGTTTCAATGTAATCTGTGTTAGGAGGGCAACAGGTACAAATTTGTAGGAATGGCACCTGATTTAATCTTTGGAGATTAAGAGAGTAGTTTGAAAGATAATACATTTATTTATTTATTTATTTTAAAAGATTTATTTATTTTTGAGAGAGTGAGAATGAGAGAGAGAGAGAGTACATGAGAGGGGGGAGGGTTAGAGGGAGAAGCAGGCTCCTCGCTGAGGAGGTAGCCCGATGCGGGACTCGATCCCGGGACTCCAGGATCATGACCTGAGCTGAAGGCAGTCGCTCAACCAACTGAGCCACCCAGGCGCCCTGAAAGAAAATACTTTTAAACTAATACCTCAGGGAACAATAAGAATGGAGTAGGTAGGAAGTAAGGAATGATGACATTTAAGAGTGTCCCTCTGGGAAACTGAGAGTGCTCTAGTATTGATGGAATGGAGGGTAGAAGGAAATGATGAGGCAAACACAGCAAGGGATAAGCTACAGAGGCAGAATTGGGAAAGACCATGGCAGGCCTTCTAAAACCGTTTGTGTGTGTGTGTGTGTGTGTGTTTTTTAAGATTTTATTTTTAAGTAATCTCTATCCCCAACATGGGGCTCGAACTCACAACCCCAGATCGAGTCACAAGCTCTACCGACTGAGCCACTGAGGCGCCCCTAAAACATGATAATTTTAACTTTATCCTGAGGGCAACAGGTCAGTCATTGAAGGTTTCTTGTTTTTTTTCTAAATAACAGCTTCAAGATATTCACATACCACACAATTCACCCATTTATAGTTAACTATTCAATGGTTTTTAGTACACTCAGAGTTGTACAACCATTCCCACAATCAAATCTAAAATATTTTCATCACACACAAAGAAACCCCATACCTATTAGCACTCACCCCTAAATCCCTCTTCCACCCATCCACTGGCAACCATTAATCTATCTTCTGTGTCTATGGATTTGCCTATTATGGACATGTTATAAAAATGGAATCATCCAATATGTGGCTTTTGGTTTGGCTTCTTTCACTTACCATAATGTTTCTAAACATTCCATGTGGTAGTAGCATGTATCAGTACTTTATTTCTTTTAACTGCCTAATAATGTTCTATTGTACGGATATACCACATTTTATTTATCCATTCATCAGCTGAAAGATACTTAGGTTATTTCCATTTCTTTGGCTATTATGAATAATGCTGTTACAAACATTCATATACAAGTTTTTCTGTGAACTTTAAAGGGTTTTAAATCGACAAATATTCATTCACTGAGTATCTGCTGAATACCTACTATGCACTGACTGTATTCCAGGCATTAGAGATTTAGCAACAAAACAAAATTACCAGCATCCATAGTTTTTTGTCTTTCATCTCCTCTGATGGTCTTATTACCAAATTGTTCCCAAAACAGTATGAACTACTCTTCCTGAAACACCTGATTAAATATGAAGCTAACTTAAGACACAATGATTGGAAGATGTGCTGTGTTTATAGCATGGTTCTTGTTATCATAACTTTAGTTAGAAAACATTATTGGAAAATTGATTTCTACTAACTGTTACGAGATGACAACTCTCACTTTTTTCTTTCAACTTTTTGGGGGTGACATTTCTACAATGGGCCAATTTTATCATCAGGAAGTTACTGTAACATAATATTACAATTTATCTTCAATCAAAAACAAACTGTGACCAACTGAGCCACCCAGGTGCCCCCAAACTGTGGCTTCAAAAAGTTATAGGAGAAACAAGTGCCTACCTCATTTCTATATGGTTTTACATACACGGTCCACTGATGGGTGTGCCCATCCTCTTCTCTTTTCTTTCCAAAATATCGAGCAACATTACCATAAACTATTGGTTTGACGATAGTAACCCCCTAAAAGAAAAATAATTTCAACACCAATTAATATTGCATCATTTACCCAAATATACAGAAGAGCTCTGAAAACTTGGGTTTGTTTTTTATTTTATTTTACTTATTTGAGAGAGAGAGAGCATGAGAGGGGGGAGGGTCAGAGGGAGAAGCAGACTCCCCACCGAGCAGGGAGCCCAATGCGGGGCTCAATCCCGGGACTCCAGGATCATGACCTGAGCCGAAGGCAGTCACTTAACCAACTGAGCCAGCCACCCAGGCACCCTGAAAACTTATTTTAAGGAATGGCAGGCAATCTAAATACCTAGAGTTTGCTTATAACATGGATTTCTCTCAATCAAATCAGTATTAGACAATTATCTTCATATTAACACAAGTAACTAAACACCAGATTAATTACAATGTTCCAACTTGGAAAATGTCTATTTAAATCATGTAAAATACTTTGAGAGATTTTTTTTAAGAAAGGCAAAGGCTCTTTATTTACAAACCTTAAAGCGAGCCTCAGGAATTAACACCGCCAATTTTGACTGCCATTACCTGAGGAAAATAATGTCTTGATTTATCAGTTTACAGCAGTGTTTTCCAAAGCATAGTACAAATACTAAAGAAAGTCTGGGAGAGGATTTTAGGTAGAATTAAGGCAAACATTTTTCAATTCATTACTTATGTGTTAAGTTCTGAGATGGAAGTACATGTTTCTCATCACATCTGGTATGTGTAGAGGTGGTGATTATTGCCGGATTATCATGAAAAAGAGAGACAAAAAATTTCAAGGGAGGAGAAAATGCTGAATGTTGCACATGAAATTTGAGACTAATTGTTCAAGAGTAAAAATGTATCTGAAGGTCAAAAAGCAAGATATACCACATATTAAAAGTGCTGTGCCAATGTACTCAATTCATAAGAAGGAAAAGCTGTGAACAAATGGAAAAACTTTTCACTTTGGCTGGAAAATTGACAAATCCAATCCCTATCAGCCTCAAGTTATTAAAAGAAGGCAAGCAGTTTGTATGAGAATTTAAATAATCACAGTAAGTGCTATCTGACACTTGGGGCAACAACAGATGAGGGAGCAGAAGGAGCACTGGCATGGGGTATGGGTAACACATCCTGCAGCTATTACTGTGTTGCTAGAACTTGCAGATTTCCTCGGTGATGCAAAGGGGGTTCATCTGTCAACAGACTTTCTAACTGAAGGAAATTTATCTAAATTGGAAAAAGATGCCTACAAAACCACATAATCATCAAGAATGAGAAATAAATCTTTAATTTTAAAGCTTTACATGACTAACTCACAGGCATGTTTGGTGGAAAAGCATTTGAGGACTACAAGCCTATCTCCTCAAATCACTTTGGACTTAAAACTTTTTGAACCTTACATGATGACAAATAGAGAAACTTCTGAAAATTCTCCAAAAGCTAACGTTTTAACCCTTTGGTAGTATTTTCCTATTAGTCCCAAACCTTGCCCAAAGCTTGGGCAAAATATATATTTATGATGAAGTTTCTGGCACTATGAATTCTACCTGACATCTTTCCATTAAATTTTGGTAGTTTCTGAAATTTTCCAAGAACTCCTACTTTGCACGTGATATTAAAGCACTGTGCATAAGAGTTGTATACACGTACAGTAAAAATTATGTAAAAATTATGTATGACACGGATCAGGACTTGATGAAAAGCTAGAGTAACTAGATTGGTGCTAACGTGGGTGATATTTCTTTCTTTATAAAGATTTTATTTATTTATTTGACAGCGCGCAAGCACAAGCAGGGGGAGCATCAGAGGGAGGGAGAAGCAGGCTTCCCCCTGATCAGGGAGCCTGATGTGGGGCTCAATCCCAGGACGCTGAGACCATGACCTGAGCCAAAGGCAGCTGTCTAATCGACTGAGCCACCCAGGCGCCCCGTGGGTGAGTTCTTTTTAAAGAAAAATTTCCTTTCTGCAATAAATCTAAAATCAAGAAGTAAAACTGGGTGTTATATCAAGAACCAGAGAGCCCTGCCTTAAAAACTAATGTGCCAGGGGATGTAGGAAATTGGGAGGGAAATGGGTCAGGGTCAAATGTTATGTTAGGCTCCACGCCAGCAACTTTAAAAACAAAAGAAAACTAACATTTACGGAATGTTCTCTCTGTGCGGGCAAGTGTTATCTTCTCTGCACGCCTTGATTAACATCTTGGCCGAAGCTTTGGGGGCTTTGTGGACATCATGAACTCGGGCAAGTTTTCTGAACTTTTCTATCCCCCCAAGTTCTTCAGTTTTCGCAGCTGCACATGCTGTGTGGGTAAGCCTTTGTAAGGCTGCTGTAGGGACTGAATCAGAGAATCGGGTAAAGCGGTTAGCTACTCTGCTTGGCACGGTAAGCGGAGAACCCAGTACCTGCTGCTCTTATTATCCTCACACTCAGGTGGATGGTACCCCCAGTTCACCGGTGACCTGGGCTGGCAGATGAGCACCAAGCCCTCAAAGCAGCTATTACGTCCACTTCTCCCTCAAGCCACCATGGCTTGTTTTTTGGCGGGGAGGGAAGGGGGTGGAGAGGCGGTCAAATCGTGGCCAAAAGAAAAGAAACACTGATTTTCCCGCAGCGGCTTTGACTCGCTCTCCGTCTAGAAACCACTGTCCAAGCCCGAGCTGAGAAGGCGCGAGAGGGAAAACAACCGGGCCCTCCCCAACGCTGCGCAGGTTGGAGCCGGGACGTGAGAGCCACTCCCGGAGGGGAGGCGCGTGCTGGGCACTGACCTTCACTCTCCCGCCGGAGTCAGGCCCAAATTCGGCCATTCTCTTGAACATATTGTCCTACGGAAGAAGCTGCCGCCGCCAGGGAAACAAACCGGGGCCGGCGGGGTCGCCGCTCCCCTCAGAGGCCCCGCTCCTCCCGCGCGGGCCCAGGCGAATGGTTTCTGGCTAAGCGAGGGCGAGTCTCCGGAGCTCGCGGCGCTGACAACGGCCAACTCCTCGCGGCGGGCGGAGTCCCGGAAGCGCGTTTAGCCCCGCGCGGTGGAGAGCCCAATGGAAGGAGCCGTGGCGGCGCCGCGCGCAGGCGCGATCAGCTGGGGCGCAAAGTGCGCAGGCGCCGGGCCGAGCCCCTGCGGTGGGGCGGGCCTCAGTGGTGGGAAACCGCTGGAGGCCAGGCGGTCCAGTTTTCCTGATGCCCCCCACGCCCATCGTTTGGATACGGAATAAACGAGAAGTTGGCGTTTGGGGCCAATACCTTGTCATCGCTAAAGAGTTACGATTTTTAATCAAGTTAATCAGATCTACTCGCCGGCCCACAGCTTTTCGTTGTTTTCATCCAGACCTCCAGGCTTGAAAGGCTAATTTATTTACCCCCTTCTTCCTTTCGTTGCTTTCTTTCCCACTCAGTTTGTAGTCCAAGGTCTATAATTTGACGCAACCTTCCCTCTATTGCCCGTTCCGTGGCACCTATAACTGCTCAGATTAGCAGCGCTAAAATAATGAAGTCAAATCATTTGAACTCTTAGATGCTAACGAGAAGTTCTCGCTCCTTTTTCTCCACTAGTTACCTTAAACTTTTCCCCAGTCTCAAACCTCCAACGCTGACATCAACCTTTTCACTCTTATCCGATGACTGTGCGTGTAATTTCATAGAGAAAACAAACCTCCATGCCAGTAGACCTAAACACAAGCTTTGGTTTGCCCAATATCTTCCATCCTTTCTGTTTAAGAGAGAATCTTCCAGTTTAAAATCAGTTCTTCAGTCTTTTTTGCTTCTTCAAGGATTTTGCCCCATCAGTCATACCCACTCCATGGTGTATCTTCAGCTTTTCCTCTACTTTGGCTTTTTCCCATAAGGAGAGTTAAGTTTAAATATTTCTCATTAAAAACAGTATGGAGGGGGTGGCTGGGATGGTTCAGTCGTTAAGCATGTGGCTCTTGGTTTCCACGCAGGTCATGCTCTCAGGGTTGTGGGATCCAGCCCCGTCTTGGGCTCCATGCTCAGCTGGGAGTCTAAGATTCTCTCTCTCTCCCTCTCCTCCCCACTCTAAAATAAATAAATCTTAAAACAAAACAGTGTGGAGGTTCCTCTAAAAGTTAAAAATAGAACTACTCTAGATCTAGCAATTGCACTACTAGGTATTATTACCCAAAGGATACAAAAATATGGATTTGAAGGGATACATGCACCCTGATGTGTATAGCAGCATTATCAACAATAGCCAAATTATGGAAAGAGCCCGGATGTCCATCAACTGATAAATGGATAAAGAAGATGTGGTATAGGGGTGCCTGGGTGGCTCAGTTGTTTAAGCCTCCAACTCTTGATTTCAGCTCAGGTCATGATGTCAGAGTCCTGGGATCAAGTCCCTCATTGGGCTCCATGCTCAGCAAGGAGTCTGCTTCAGGATTCTCCCTTTCCCTCTCCCTGTGCTCTTACTTCCACTTGTGCACACACACTCACTCTCTGTGTCTCAAATAGATCTTTTAAAAAATGTGGTATATGGGGCGCCTGGGTGGCTCAGTTGGTTAAGCGACTGCCTTCGGCTCAGGTCATGATCCTGGAGTCCCTGGATCGAGTCCCGCATCCGGCTCCCCGCTGAGCGGGGAGTCTGCTTCTCCCTCTGACCCTCCCCCCTCTCATGTGCTCTCTCTCTCTCATTCTCTCTGTCTCAAATAAATAAATAAAATCTTTAAAAAAAATGTGGTATATGTACACACACACACACACACACACACACACAGGAATATTAGCCATAAAAAGAATGAAATCTTGCCGTTTGCCATGACTTGGATGGAGCTAGTGAGTATTATGCTAAGTGAAATAAGTCAGTCAGAGAAAGGCAAATACCATATGATTTCATTCAGGTGAAATATAAGAAACAAAACAGATGAGTATGGGGGGAAAAGAGGCAAACCAGGAAACAGAGTCTTAACTAGAGAACAAACTGAAGGTTATTGGAGGGGAGGTGGGCAGGGGATCGGTTAAATAGGTGATGGGTATTAAGGAGGGCACTTGTGATGAGCACTGGGTATTATATGTATGTATGATGAACCACTAAATTTTACATCTGAAACTAATAATACACCTAAACTAATATTGCACTAATATTAACTAACTGGAATTTAAATAAAAACTTGAAAAAAACTTTCTTATTAAAAACCATCCATTTTTGGGCGCCTGGGTGGCTCAGTCGTTAAGCGTCTGCCTTCGGCTCAGGTCATGATCCCGGGGTCCTGGGATCGAGTCCCGCATCGGGCTCCCTGCTCCTTGGGAGCCTGCTTCTCCCTCTGCTTCTCCTTCTCTCTCTCCCTCTCTCTCTCTCCTCCTCTGTCTCTCATGAATAAATAAATAAAATCTTAAAAAAAATAAAATAAAAACCATCCATTTTTAATCCGCATATCTCTATTTTTGCATTATCCTTAAAGTAGACCCTAAAAAGGCTCTCAATATTTCCTGTTTGTTTCCATATGCTCCTCAGTCCATCACCTTCTGAATTTCATCCTCACTGAAACCTCTCTGACCAGAGTTACTGACTTTTCTATTAGTAAATACGTTAACCACTTTCCCTTAACTCATTTGACTTCCTGGCAGGATTTGACGATGCTAACCACTTCCTCCTTTTGTGATGCCCATTTTCTTGTTTTTTTTGTTGATTCTTAGGCAGCTGATTTCCAGGTGGTTAGTCACTCTCTTTATATTCCCATAGTGCCTAAGGGATTGTAACACTTATCATGTTCTATATTAATTATTTGTGAACTCCATGAGGGCAATAACTGTATCTTATTCACCTTAGTATTCTTAGGCCCACAACATTTCTTGTGCCCAATAATCAATGTTTGTTGAATAGTAAATAAATGAAAAATGGAGAAGTCAAGAAGACTTGAGGCTGTATTTCCGAAGGTAGATGAAACCAGTAAGACCTGTTAAAGCACACTGTCCTACAAAATCCTTCACATCACAATACGGGATTTTTTTTTTTTTGTCCCCTGTACCCTTGCCCAAATTTCACCTTTTTCAAATTACAGCTTTCAGAACATGATCTCTGGAACCCAAATTTGCTCTTTATAATTATTTCTTCAGCTTTCCTCTTTCTGCTTTTCTCCTGTTTCTCAGAGGATTTTTTATTCTTTGTTTAAAATCTTACCCTAAGTATTTTTTAAGTAAAATAACATTTAATAAAATAAAATTAAGCAAATACATAAAACATATTGGGAACTTTTGTGGAAAGATAATGGATCGAATACACATCTTTTGTCTCCTCCCAAAACTCCTTTAAAGCAAGTAAAGGAATTTTCAAAAAGGCATAAACCTGTAAGGATAAGAAGAATGGTGGGGGGGGCGGAGAAAAAAATAAGAATGGGAGGGAAGGCAAAACAGAATCTTGAAATCTGGAATAGGAATCATGGTATAGGGCAGTCCTGAGAGCGGAGCAGTCAGAACTAATACACCCCCCACACCCCGCCAAGTCTCAAGAATTTGTATTTGTGGGGAATCTCTGGTTGTAAGGGGAGGGAGATGGAAGAGAGAAGCTAACAAAACAGGTTGAGAGTCTGTTTCCTGGGTGGCACAGTTGGTTAAGCCTCAGGGTTTGGTGGTGGCTCAGTCAGAAGAGTATGTGACTCTTGATCTTGCGGTCATGAGTTCAAGGCCACATTGGATGTAGAGATTACTTAAATAAATAATAAACTTAAAAAAAGGGTGAAATTGACAAAATTCTAGCTGCATCTGAAGCCTTGAGAGATTATTTAAATATTTAATATTTAATTTTTAAATATTAGACCTAGAGTTTGGGAGGTAAAACCAAAAGATACACAGAAAACTAAGCAAATTTAAGAGTCATGCAGTTATTAGCTCTACGGAAAATACAATCTTGCATTAGAGAAGAAAGTAATTGTATTTGTGGCTATGTAAATACTGAGTATGGGTCTAACAAAAATGTATAATTACGCTGGAAAGATAGGCACTGGGGAAGGGTGCCATCTGCGATGAAGATTGAGGAGGAGGAAATAGAGCCTAATCCTTAACTTCCATAGTGGAAAGTCAATAACCTAGGATGATGGAAAAATCAAGAAAATGCAATATAAGCCTAATACTTAAAAGTATGGAGGTAAATATAAAAAACATTAAACTAAAAGAGTAGAAAGCAGTTGCATGTAAAGGGGGAGAAATGAGGAGGTACATCTTTCATAAATTTTGTGGAACTATCTAACTCTATAAACACTAAGAATTTATAACTTTATTAAAATTAAAAATGATTTTAAAATATAATTGCATAATAGACATGCATTTAATTGGAAAACATTGTATCTGTGAATGACATTAGTCACTCCTCATTATAATTTTTATTAATTTCCTTTCACAACTTCTAAGTAAATATTTTTTCAATGAGTCCACTACGGGCGCCTGGGTGGCACAGTCAGTTGGGCACCTGACCCTTGGTTTTGGCTGGTGTCGTGATCTCAGGGTTGTGAGATCGAGCCCCACATCAAGCTCCAAATCAGGCTCTGCATTCAGGGGGGAATCTGCTTGAGAATCTCTCTCCCTCTCCCTCTGCCCCTCCTGCTCTCTCTTTCTAAAATAAATAAATAAATCTTTTTAAAAAAGTAAATGAGAAGTGCAAAAAATGTGTTCAGGGCTTAGTTATAATTAGTCCCACATAAAGAGCTAAGTTATCATCTGGAATATTACTCTGCATTTCAAATAATACCCTGGGGTAAAAGTAAGCAATGTACAAATTGAGTTTCTTTTAAAAATGATCAAACACTGATATTGATATTTATTTCATTCCAAATTAGAATAGAAATTCAGTTTGGGAGCTTGATTGTATGATAATAAAAGCTATAAATAAGAAATGACAGTTACCAAAAACATTAAGCAAAATCTCCAGGAAACATCGTTTTCCCTCTTCAGCCAACTTTTGCTAATCTCTAGTTGTTTCTTCAGTCAGCCTGTGTTGTTGAGCTATCCTGGAGCTTTCTGGATATATCTCATTTCTGCACTGGAGCTGTCACTCTTCAAGTCTCTCTCCCCTACCTTGACTCATTCTTTATACACCTCTGGGTGACCTGATATGAATAAACCCATATTTTGGGGGGGTTAATCGTATCAGAATGGCTCCAGAATCTTGAAGCCTGAGGCTGCACCCGTGTCGGGGACCTCTGCTGCCCTCCCATGGCTGGTCTATACATTACAGTCACATAGTTGAGACTTGACCCTTGGAATCCCAGAAGCTGTTGTACTGGAATTATGTGGGTCTGAAGAGTAAGAAAAATCCTAGAATGGTCAACATGGAGGAATATACTAAATAATCAGGAAGAGATTCATTCGATCAACTGTTTATTGAGCGCGTATCATGTTCCAGGTGTTTGGAATATGGGTGTAAAAAACTCTGCCCTCCTTCCTATCAGGACAGTGACCCAGTATGGTGTCAGAGATGTAACACAGTTAAGAGGGCGTGCAGATGTGGAGGAAGGGGTAGCCAATGAAGGATAGTAGAGTCTGAGTAGAGAGGGTCTATTCCATGGTGTGGCAGTGTTGCGAGATTTGTTACATACAGACAAATTGATCAAATACATACATGCACTAAGGATACATTTCAAAGCTATTAAGGACAATGGAAGCCAAGTTTCTCACTATCAGAGAAGAGAGTTGACAACGTGGAAAAAGAGAAAAATAGAATGAACCCTGTGGTGTGGGATTGGAATTGGAGATACTGATATGAATTCAATATAAATAGATACAGTGATAAATACTGTGTAAATACATATAACCTCTAATTCTGTCCACTAGTGGGGCCTGGAATCAGTGACACTCTAGTGCCTAGATCTTGTTTTTAAATACCATTGTCCAGGGGCACCTGGGTGGCTCAGTCGGTTGAGCATCGGACTCTTGATTTCAGCTCAGGTCATGATCTCAGGGTTGTGAGTGCCCCGCACTGGGCTCCACACTCAGAGGGGAGTCTGCTGGAGATTCCTCTCCCTCTCCCTCTGCCCCTCCATGCACACACACTCTCTCTCTACAATAAATAAATCTAAATAAATACATACATATATACATACATACATACCATTGTCCACTCTGCCGAATCAGTGCTCTTTGGAGAAATGGCTGATTCCAGGGCTGGAGCAGGGGAAGAACAAGGTGAGTCTTAGACCATCCTGTGCCAGAAAACAAAAAAGTGCTCAAGAAAGATGAGGACATGTCAAAATGATGCAGAAGCTAGCTTACAGAGAAGCTCTACTGGCCAAATTACGGACAATGTGAACATAAAAATAAATGGTAGTAATGGATTATAATCCACTATAATTTGAATAAAATAGGAAGCCATGGGTCCATCCTGATATAATAAATAAATGCATGAATTGAAAACTTGCTAAGGAACAGTCTCAAAGCACCTTACCCCTTCCCAAATACTTCACAGTAGAGGTCACTTGATCAAATGACCAAAGTAAACATCATCAGTAACAGAACACTTCAAAACTGCGTGCCACCCGAGAGGGTACAATGGGAACAGCTCAGCATCACTTCTGTGGTATTTTTGCCAAAGATGCACAACCTAATCTAATCAAGAGAACAGCAAACAACTTTAAGACATTTTGCAACATAACTGGTCTGTGGTCTTCGAAATTGTTAAAGTTGTGAAAATCAAGGGAAAAAAACTGAAGAAATGATCCAGATTGAAGAAAATTAAAAAAAAATGGCAACAAAATACAACACATAATTCTGAATTAGATCTTTCTATTGTGAAGAACTTACAGGGACAATTGATGAAATTGAATGGGATCTAAAGAGTAGGTATTAATAATGTTAACTTCCAGATCTGGGTGATGTTTTGAGGTTATGTAGGAATCGCACACTGAAGGATTCAGGGCCACATAGGCACCAATTTACTCTCAAACTGTTTAGAAAAATTAAGGCCTTTGTACTGTACATGTAAATTCTGGGGAAAATTGAGTTATTTCAATGTCTTTAAAAAGTGGGGAAAATCTGTTATTTTAGAAGTTATATTTCAGCAAGAAGAGACAAATAAATAAGTAAAATATGTAGTCTATCAAATGGCTATAGGCTTGAGTGCTGGGGCGCTCCCTCAGAAACGAAAGAACAGAGGAAAGGCCAGTCAAGGACTGAGAAGGGACAACCCATGAGGAGGGATGTGAACAAGGAGAATGAGAAGCTGAGGGGGAAGAAGCTTTCCAGAACTAGGAAGTGGTTCACGTGGTCAAGTGCTACTGAAAGACCCAGTGAGATGAACGGAGATCACTAGAATTGCAAAGTCTTTGAATCGCAAGAATCTTTGCAAGGTTACCACGACGTTTTGTACAATGTCAGGGGATATCCAGCAAAGAGAGAAAAACTCAGGATGCAGGAAACACTCGCTCACTTGAAGTCGTGAGATGGATGCAGTCTGAGATTGCATGTGGAGACCCTGCCATTGGCCGGACCGGAGGAAGAGAGGATGGGCCCAGGGGAAGGTGTGCTCACTGTTACAGTGACAAGGAGGGGAGAATTAGGTATGAGCTTGCTTCTATTTTCTCAGTGTAATGTGAGGTCAGGTCATCTACTGAGAACAGAGAGGGTGGAAAGTGAATGGTTGGATGTGTGTGCTGGGGCTTTGAAGAGAGAGGAAGAGAACTAAAATAGTAATAGTCATTTTGGAGAGTGGGGACACCAACACAGAAGGAGTGCAGAGAAGTGACTCAGATGGCCATGCAGACTGAGGGCCCATGTGAGATCTGTGGTTATCAAAGTGAGATCTGTCAGAATGCTTGTGGATTTTTCTCCAGCAATATCCAGCTCTTTGGGTACCGGTAAAGATATAGAATATATTAAGAATACCAAATAATTCTTTTTTTTTATTAGATTATTTATTTATTTATTTGACAGAGAGAGACACAGCGAGAGAGGGAACACAAGCAGGGGGAGTGGGGGAGGGAGAAGCAGGCTTCCTGCTGAGCAGGGAGCCCAATGCGGGGCTCGATCCCAGGACCCTGGGATCAGGACCCAGGCCGAGGGCAGACGCCTAACGACTGAGCCACCCAGGCGCCCCCAAATAATTCTTTTTTGAATACACATATTTTTTTCTTCATAGACACTAGTTGGGTCTAAACAAAGAAAGACAAGTTATGAGTTGCAAAGCCTTTAATGATAATGTTTGTATTATTTTTATAACATGCATAATTTCACACCTTTGGTTAATCAGCAATTAGTTCAACACTTGCAAAGTCATTTGCCTCAAGATTTAGTCATAATGCATGAATCTAAATTAATAAATTTAAAGAACAACAACAGCTCATCCAATCCTTCTTTATATTCCTTCATGATCAGAAAGATGCATAGAAGAGTTCTTTAAAGGGCCAAAATAGATTGACATATAAACTGTCAATTTATTTTTAAAGCAGTATGAAAGCAACATTTCTGAGAAAATATTTAAACCAAGGTCACAGTTTAGAAAAGCAAAATTCTTAATTCAGGCTGTCTTCATTTTTAGCCATTTGGCACTCTGCTCCTTTTTAAACTTTATATTGCCCAACAGAGTGGTCTTTTGTTTGTTTTGTAGGGGGTTTTTTGTTTGCTTTGTGTTTTTGTTGTTTTTTGGGGTCTTCTTTTTTACTGTTTTTGGAGATGACTGAACAGATGCCTATTCAGCTAGGATTTTGCCTAAGATCAGTTTGTTTTTAAGATCTTTTGTTACATCTTTATAAACTATTGGGGAGTACTAAAGATTAAGTTGGGGGTATTTCTTAAGAACTGACTATATTGGAGATGTATTTGATAGGCAAGACTTTAGATAAGTTTTCACCAGCCTTATTTCTATTAGCAAACTGAAAAATGTTACAGGATATCAAATAACAAACACATTTCGTAAACATGAAGACTTTTAGAAGAAAGACCATATTCTGTTCCTGCTTGTGTAAAAGTGTTATTGTTTGAAAGAATGGTAATGTGAACTTTCACTCAACTACTACTCCCTTAATATGAAAAAGAGATAAAATGAGCTGCAGAAGGAAAACTCCACAGTTACACTCCACAATTCCGAATATACTGAGAGACATCTTGGTTTTCACAGTGTGCTCTCCATGCCACCCTGTAGAGAAAAGTGAAACAAACACTGATAAGGTCAAAACATATCTTCATTGTAATAGACACACTTCAAATCCTCTGGGAGAACAGAATGTTTTACCGGTAAATGGACGACAGGCTGCAGACAGATTGAGGTATTTGCTATTTATTAAATGGAGATAGGTACACCAAGTATGTCACTTCCCCCCAAAGCCCTCACTAGAGCACAGGATGCCGAACGTGAACGTTGATCTATGTATTCTACAATAACAATTGCAAAGTGCTTTCCACATTTACTTAACTCCAAAAGCAATTTCAAGATAAGACAAGGAACTGGTAGAATGTTGAGAATCTTAAAAACTCTAGAAATCCTTTAAAATAAATTGAAGGGGAAAAGAGTAAGATTCTAAATCAGATGAAACAGTTTGTTTCTACGTAACTCATTGTTTAGGGTAAGGCTAAAGCAGCAACGTTCAGTTCTCAGTAGCATACTTCGGTCTTTGAAAATCTTCTTTCACTTCTCTCTTAACACTAGGGCAAAATAGCTGTCCCCTTTTATTTATTTATTTATTTATTAAATTAATTTTTTAATTATTATGTTCAATTTATTATTTTTTTTTGATCTTTTGAAGGAGAGAGGGGGGCTGGGGGGGAAGGGCAGAGGGAGAGAGAGAATCTTCAGTAGGCTCCATGCCCAGTGCAGAGCCCAACACGGGGCTCCATCCCAGGACCCCGAGATCATGACCTGAGTGAAATCAAGAGTCGGACGCTCAAACCGAGCCACCCAGGCGCCCCCCACTCCCACTCCACTTTAATGCTTAAACGTACCATGCACGAACGCCATTTGGATCACTGACAACCCTTTTTGCACATGTTACAGCTTGAGTGATGTCATCTTTCAGCAAATCTGAAAAAGAGATAGTGGGGAATGAAAACAGCTTCCATAGAAATTTCATTTTAAGTTTAGATTTAGTCAGCTTTATTCTCTTAGGAGGATGAAAGAACATAAAATTATTTTCTAAGAGTCCATTTATCTGTGAATGTTGGGGGGAAATTTTTTTCATTCTATCCCATTTGGCATGAAATAAAGCATTCTGTTTTTCATTTACCAAAGTCATGGAAAGCTCTGGAATTGTTAACTAATGTGACAGAAGTTTCTCTTTTTACTAGGCACTGTAAAAAACAAATAAATAAACAAACAAACAAAAAACAAACACAGACTAGCAATTTTTTAATCAGCTGTTCTGCTACCAGAAATCTATCCTAAAGAAATAATAAAAATGTACCTCAAGATGTATGCACAAGATATTTCATAGCATTTCACAAAAGGGGAAAAGCAGAATAACCTAAGTGCTTACCAATAAGAGTTGGACTAACAAGTTATAGAACGTTTATATGTGGAATTCTTTCTATCCTTTAAAAATAATACAGATCTGGGCGCCTGGGTGGCTCAGATGGTTAAGCGTCTGCCTTCGGCTCGGGTCATGATCCCAGAGTCCTGGGATCGAGTCCCGCATCGGGCTCCCTGCTCCTTGGGAGCCTGCTTCTCCCTCTGCTTCTCTCTCTCTCTCTCTCCCTCTCTCTCTCCCTGTCTCTCATGAATAAATAAAATATTAAAAAAAAATAATACAGATCTGTATTTGTTGACATAGAAATAATTTTGTGTGATAAAGAGGAAGCTGTAAAGCACTAAAAATAGTACAACTTCATTTTTCTTAATGTACATTGCTTACATGTTTGTATGTAGGTACATTTGTGCATGATATAGCTTTACATTCATATACATGATTGATACATATTGTGGAAGAATATATACCAAAAGTTACCAGTCGTCATAAATCTCTGGGGAGTAAGGATTTTTATTCAATGACCATGTTTTATTATATAATACAAGATTTTTAAAAAAAATAAATTAAAAATAAATTAGCTGGATGCAAAATGTATTCTAAGACTAATCTTGTCTATTAGTAAGTTTAACATTAAAAGATTTAACAATATCAATTTTACAATACTTCTCCAGTATTTCATACACTAAATATTCCACATGTTATTTCTATTTTTTATATGAGTTCAATAGAATATTTGTTTCACCCCAACTAAACAAATCCATAAAATAACTTGTTAGGTATAACAATAATTATATAAGAACTGTATTTTCTGAAGAGGCAAACTAAAGAGTTGAGAAATGAAAAGTCATCATGTTTCTAATTCACTTTAAAATCACTCAGCAAAAAGAAAAAAATACACATAAAAAAAGTAAAACGGACAAAGCGTTAACAACTGTTAAAGTATGTGATGAGCACATGGCTGTTTATTAAACTAAAGTCTCAAAATTTCTATATATTTAGGACATTTCAAAATAAAAAGTAAAAACAATTTTTAGAAAAGGGCCCCACAACCAAATTATCCTTAAACCTCCCCAAAGAAAGTGGGAGAAAAAACATGGTTTTCGACAAAGCATCAATATGTTCATTTACGATAAATTAATAGATCATTTGAGAAACTTGCGTACATTAGAAAACTTGAACTTTTTATGATGTCATCATCAGCTCTTTAATTTCTTAGGGCATTATGAGGATGATCATAAAGAGTTTCTAGGCACTGAAATAGAGTTTTTCTAGGTCCCTGATGAACCTTTCAAGACTCTCTCATTTGTACGGAACCCCTGTTCTCGTAAGTAGGACTAGATGAGTCCTGTGCCGCTACTTAAACATCGTCTTTCTCACCGCTGCAGGGTATGTGACAGGCGTTCACGGCTCCGGGCGTTTTGCCATCATTACACCAGTAGCGGCTATTGATCTGAAATATCCCATAATCGGTGCTTCTGCTTCCGGGATTGTAGTTTGTAGCCTTTGTGTTATAATCACTTTCCCATTTGGCCAAACACATCCCTGAAAAAAAACTTATTTTTAGTAAGAAACATCAACACCACATGATGTATTTCATATACCATAATCAGTTCTATTTTGCTATTCTATTTTATTAATGACTTACTTTATAAGTGTAAAAGTGTCTTTTCCTTATAAATATATATATATTTAAGATTTTATTTTATTTTATTTTATTTATTTATTTATTTTTTTTTTTTAAGATTTTATTTTTTTAAGTAATCTCTACACCCAACATGGGGCTTGAATTTACAACCCTGAGATCAAGAGTTGCATGCTCCACTGACTGAGCCAGCCAGGGGCCCCCAAACATATTTTAACACTTCAGTGAGAATCCTTTTGTTAGCAAATCATTTTGTAATACTAATGAACTAGATAACATATTTTTAAAATATTAAAATAGCTGTTTCTTCCATTGTCATTACCCTTCCCCTGCTCCCATCCTCAGGCAAGATTTAGCCTAGAATGGAAAAATCAACAGAGTTGTTGAGTGAATTTTATAATTAATAGCAGATACATACATACGCTGATGGAAAAAAATGCTTTTTATTAGGAAAAATAAGAATTTTCTGAGAGAAATAAATTTCCTTGAGATACCTAAAGGTGAATTTGCTTATCAAATCAGAATCTGAAAAACAAGAGATATAAACAGGAAAGACTATTTCATCCATCCATCCAGTCATTCATTCAAAAGCAGTTACCAAGAGGAAATGCTTGAATTCAACCTGAAAAATACAGTGATCACATTGATAAATGTGAACTAAAATATAAAGTAACTTTTATTCAGACATATCTTGAATTAAGTGGAAGAAAGTGAAAAATAGTTAATAAACTATACTGAGTAAGAATAATAGGGACGCCTGAATGGCTCAGTAGGTTAAGTGTCTGCCTTAGGCTCAGGTCGTGATCCCAGGGTCCTGGGATTGAGTCCTGCATGGGGTTCCCTGCTCAGCGAGGAGCCTGCCTCTCTCCCTATGTGTGCGCTCTCTCTCGCTTTCTCTCTCTGACAAATAAATAAAATCTTAAAAAAAAAAAGAATAATAAAACACTATTACAAGCTGCATTTCAGGGATCCTTATATAAACAGTAATCAAGGGGAAATAGGTTCCTACTGCCCCTGCACTGAGAGTTCAACATAGGGTTTTAAAACTTTGCTGTTAAAAATCCCATGTCATGGCAGAGAAAAATACTCATTGCTCTAGGCTCATTACCCTTGGAACCAAGTTCCAAACAGGAAATGCCTGGCGTCAAGGACCCAGGACTTGACAGTCCCGGTGCTCAGATAGACCTTTCAGTCAGCCTACACGTGCCACCGAGTCTGAGGCAACAGACAAATTTAGTGGCTCCAGAAGAGCACAATGGGTCCTGGTATCCCTAAAATGGTAGAGAATTTTGCCCTCCCATGCCCTCATTCCTTCATCTGGCATATCTGATTCTAAAGAAACAAGCTGATATTTTGAACCATTGTAAGTATACAGACCCTCAAAAGAAATAAAAGAAGTCCATTCATTCAAAGCCTCTTTATTACTATTCATCCTCTATCTGTCCCACACCAGGCTATTTGGAAGAATGAAGAAGAGTTAACTTACAGTTTGCCAGGCTGACACCTTTAAAGTCAGCCAGCCCAAGTCTTTTCAGAGTTCTGGCCAGTTCACACCTTTCAAAGATCTTGCCCTGGACAGTGACGGAAAGCAGGAGAAGCCCCAGAAGAAGGAGAGCCTTCATGTTGACCGGGAAGCCAGACCTCTAGGCTGACTGGGGAGAGCTGTGCTCAGTATTTAACATCTTTTCACTTCCTTCTTCTCCTAGTGGCTATGGGTTCCACCCTTTGAGAGATATGAAAAATAGGAACTCTTTATTGGTTCATTAACTTTGAAAGCTCTTTTTTTTATATTTGAAAAGAGGTCTTATGATGTCCTAAGAATTAACCTACAGGAAAATGATGAAATGGCATTGTTTAAAGACCTGGCTCAGGAAGAATTGGGAAGTAGGACTGTTTCCAAACCAGGAACTTTCCTATTTTATTATGAATTTGAGCAACTATAAAGAAAAAAAAAAAAAACCCTGAATGAACATTTTACACAACAGAAAAAGAGCTCCAATTTTTGATTTTGCATTCACTATGTTGTCTTCATCTTTTTCACTTAAAATTATTTTCTATACTCTTTCCCCAAAAGCACATAACATGTTACCTATCATTTTAATGGGTATATAGCATGATACCATATTGCTCAGCCATATTCCCACCCTAAATTTTTTGTTGCTATTATAATTTTTTGCTTATAAATCAGTGTTTTACTATTATAAATAAGCCTCACACGAACAATGTTTGTAACTTTTTGACAATGCCTTATCTCACATTTTGATCTTAGAACATAAGGGGTCATTTTAAAACAAGGGAATTTTATAATCAAACCTAAAGAAGAGTAGCATCATATACCACCTGAAAATCTTCCCTTTTGGCATAAGGATTATTTTGAACTGAAGGCAAATGAGAAGAAGCAGATCTAAGAAAGCACTCTGTCTTCCCCCTAATATACCTGAAAACAGAATCACCTAGGTTTGTACAGGACTCAATCACTGACAACTCTACATGCTCATCAGCCCCAAGACCTCACAGGACCTCACATAACAAATTTTACTGACTAGCTATTATCTTCCAGTGGCCACTAAATATTTATCTTCCCACAGTTTGCTGCCCTTAGAAGCCTAAACTCTTTTCCTCTGTCTTGTTGTTCTTCTAAAAATGTACTGTTCTTCAGTTAAGATGGTATATAAGCCCCAATTCTGGCCACCTCTTTGAATTACTCATCCCTGCATTTCTCTCAAATATCTATGAGATACCCATGTTAATAAACTTATTTTTGTCTTGCTCATCTGTCTCTTGTTACAGAGCCCCAGCTGAAACCCTAAAAGAGTAGAAGGAAATTGAATTTTCTCCTCCTGTAGTTTCTGGTGATGAGGATGGGAGAGTAGGAGTCTGGAAAACTTTTCTCTCCCTAGAGAGTTGATGTCTGTGGTAACTGACCACAGGCCAGCGGAGGTAAGAGTTCTTACCATGTCAGTCTCGCAGATCTCTGACTATAGCGCCCAGTCAAGAGAGGAGTATAAAACTTTTCTCTTCCTTTCCCAATTCATAATGGCAGGAGAATAACATTTGAAAAAACAGATCTCGAATCATGACTCTCGTGAATTTAGTTTTGGGTACCTACAGATTATTGATTCTTCGCCTCCCAGAAATAGTCATGTTTTCCTTTGTCTGACTTCTGTATTGTTTGTCATAAGGATGAAAATCATAAGATGAGACTCTTCATTTGTCTTGTTTTACGTACTGAGAACCTGGCTTTGTAACTAGTGAGTCTATCCTCTCTGGTCTCCGCCGCTTGTGTAGGGCCGTGGTGGGGAGAGTGCGCCTTGTCAGGCTTGCGTGGGGCAGTGAGCCAGCAGGCTAGGGGGCTGTTGCTGTCTCTATTTTCCTTTCCTCGTTTGTGCTGGGAAAATTCCTATTCCAGTATCACTTTCTGGTAACACAGATTAGTGGATCTGTGAACTAAAGTGTCTCCTTTGTGGGAGATAGAACTTTCTTTACCACCTGTGACAGTGAAGGTCTTTGCTTTCTTAGGCTATCTTTAGAGTGGCTCTGCATCTCAAGGGGGCTATACCATTTGCACTCTCTCTGTGTCCAGGGTTAAGCCATAAAAGGCTTACTGATTTTAAGCCATAAAAAGGCTTATTGGTTTGGAGTCACAATTGAAGTAGATATACCTTTGAAGATTTGGACTTCATATCTAAAAGGATTTTTAAGAGAGCTCTCATCCTAAACAAAGAAAAGTTCCTATTGGTAACTCTAGGAAGATGAGATAAGAAAGAAAGAGAGAAAGAAAGAAAGAAAAAAGAAAGAGAGGAAGGAAGGAAGGAAAGAAGGAAAGGGAAAGAAAGAAATAGATACAGAGGAAAGTCTTGGCTAGTATGATGGGGGGAAACCCACATACTTCCTTAACTAGATTAAGAAGTAGAGATCAGACTCAGAACAAATGTTAAGAACTGCAAATGGCACTCAAGCAGATATGAAACATGAAAATACTGATAGCCAGGAAATAGCTTTGATAAAAGCACAGAAAATGCACAAGACTTTATTTATTGTCCCTTACTCTGTAAGCAGATCCCACGAGGTCTAGGCTTTCCCATAGTTCTGGCCTCCACTGCAGGAAAAAAAAAATTCATCAGACTGCCCTACCCTTAATAAAAAAAGAAAAACTTCATAGTAATGACCTTTGGTTTTTGATAGGAGGCAAATACGCCCCCGAGTTCCTTCTTGGATTAACCCTATAACCTTTCTCATTCCCTTGGAAATATTAATCTTACCATGTCTTTGAAATATAAGTATCCAAGGAGAAAATTGGCTAAAACAACTCCTGAGACTGGAAAAAAAAATAGGTTTTTAAAAAACAAACTGCTACTTGATATTTCTATAGGCTCCTTGCCCGAAATTTAGTCCACAGCCTCCATAAGATTATCTACAAAAGACAAACAAAAATCTTAAAAACTTTTTCCAGAAATATTGGTAAAATCTTTAGTTATCTAAGTGGGTAACCTTAACTTGTTCCACCTGCCAGAAACACCATTTAGATCTAACTATTCTTTTATAAGGTAGTGAGTTTTGTATTATTGTACTTGATACGTGGCTAAAATTTTTAAATGAAAGCTACAAGATCTCTGCTTGTTTCTGTCTGGATGTTTATGTGTGGCAATGGATGTATGTTACATAATATGCAGTATTTTTCTCCCTCTGAATGGTAGTCCTAAAAACTAACTTGTGGAAGAGTTCTATTAATTGGCTTAAAGAAAATTGAGTACTAAAAAGTATATATATATATGTACTTACATAAATTAAGGCTAGTGAAATTAGCTTACGTCATCTCTACTAGATATTTGAGATTATAAATTTGGAAATTCAACCTAAGAGCAAAACGTACAATAAAAATGATCTGCTGGGATGCCTGGGTGGCTCTGTTAAGCATTTGCCTTTGGCTCAGGTCATGACCCCAGGGTCCTGGGATGGAGCCCCGCATCAGGCTCCTTGCTCAGTGGGGAGCCTGCTTCTCCCTCTGTGTGCCTCTCCCCCTGCTTATGCTCTCTCCCTCCCTCTCTGACAAATAAATAAAATCTTTTTTAAAAAAATAATTTGTTTAATATATGTCAACATGGCAGAACAAACCATATGTGAAATTTTTGTAACTTCTTAGGTTCTTTGAGAGACTAAAGATATTTGGGTCTGTTAATAACATGTTCTTTTTGCCACATCAAAAAATTGAGCTATGAAAATGCATGTGTAGAAATTACAAAATGGTGTATTCATAAATATGCTAACCTACTTACAATGTTAGGATGTAGCAGACAGTTCACAACTGCTTCTTTCTTAGCTTTTATTGGAAATTGAGTTTACTAAAGGTTAAGAATTCCAACGAATATAAGTGAAACCTACATATAGAAATAATAAGGGTAAAGAAAAAAACTTTAGGCAAAGCATACAGGGATAGTAAAATGTAAATTTTTGATAGGGAAAGGTATGAGGTATGAGAATGCATTTTTGTTAAGGGGAAACAAGTAATTTGTCCTAATTTAGAGGTTATTTAAAGGTTATTTTAGACTAGAAAAAAAGAAAAGAAAGGACAAAACCTAAATGTACATAGAAAGGAAAAGAGAGTGAGAGAAGCACTAGGAAGCAGGGGGAAGGGAGGGATTGTTATCTTGCGTGGTTACCTGGTGAAAATTGAATGAATTTATTATAAGGGTTTTAAAAGTGAGCTTTAATAGCATCTGGGTGCCTATACAAAACTGGAATTTAATTTTCTCTCTCTGTTAAAAGAACAAAGTTTTCTTGGATTATTGTAAAAGATTTTTCTTTACCAGATAAATAACTTGACTGGAAAACAAGGATTCTGTGTCTTATTATTACTATTATTTTGGATTCTGTGTCTTAATTAAGATAACTGCTTGTGCTTCGTGTTCTTTATCAGGTCTTTGATTACTTAAAAAGACTGAGTCATTTCAATATTAAAAGAGAGAAGGGTTTGTTCCTTCAGGTGTATTTGCCTCTGAAATCTTTTATGTTCAGTTTGGCTAAATAAGTAACTAAATATTGTTCCAAGTAATCTGTCATCTTATTTAATCAGTGTTCAAACCTTTTGACATTTTTTTACAACTTCCCCAAATCAAATTTTAAATAAAGTCTTTTGATCTTAAACTAACTGAGATTTGCCCAAGGGTCCCTGGAAAATTTCAAAGATTTGTTCTCTGTCCTTATAGAGAAATGTTAAACCAATTAGGTTTATCTGCTATGTTAAATTACATGAGAAATATTGTCAAATGAAAGGCATGTTTAACTTTCCTTGGGTTATATTTGTATGAGTATATTTTATTAATATAAGTTTTCCAGAAATTGTAAGAAATTCCTTCCAATATGTACTGGTATTATGTTATCTGTCAGAATTCCAGTTATCATATTAAAATGTAGTATGTCACATAAATCCCCAAATCCTTGTTAATTGCATTTAAATGAGCTTTCATCAGATCTTTAGCCACACTATTTTTAAAAAAATTTTCTTAAAGATCTATATATTTATTTTTAGAGAGAGTGAGAGTGAGAGAGAGAGAATGCATGAGCAGGGGGAGGCGCAGAGGGAGAGAGAATCTCAAGCAGATTCCCTGCTGAGCCCTACACGGGTCTCCATCTCACAACCCTGAGATCATGACCTGAGCTAAAACCGAGTCAGATGCTCAACCGACTGAGCAACCCAGACGCCCCTAACCACACTATTTTA